CGAACTCCTGACCTCAGGTGATCCACCCACCTTGGCCTCCCAAAGCGTTGAGATTACAGGCGTGAGCCACCGCGCCCAGCTGACCACGTTCTTTTTTGTTTGCTCGTTTCTTTTTAACATTTTGTTAGAGACAGGGTCTTGCTCTGTCACCCAGGCTGTAATACAGTGGTACCATCACAGCACACTGCAGCCTCAAACTCCTGGCCTCATGCCACCCTCCTGTTTTCAGCCCCTCAAGTAGCTGGGACTGCAGGTACATAACACCATGTCCAGCTATTTTTTAAAATTATTATTAACACACATCCTCACTGAAGACCAGCTAATTTTTTTGTAAAGATGAATTCTCGGCCGGGCGCGGTGGCTCAAGCCTGTAATCCCAGCACTTTGGGAGGCCGAGGCGGGTGGATCACTAGGTCAAGAGATCGAGACCATCCTGGTCAACATGGTGAAACCCCGTCTCTACCAAAAATACAAAAAATTAGCTGGGCATGGTGGTGCGTGCCTGTAATCCCAGCTACTCAGGAGGCTGGGGCAGGAGAATTGCCTGAACCGAGGAGGCGGAGGTTGCGGTGAGCCGAGATCGCGCCATTGCTCTCCCTTGTGTAAAAACAGAAAAACACCTTCTTTTTTCTGTAGCCCTGAGGGCAGCAGATGAATTCTCACTCTGTTGCCTAGGCTGGCCTCAAACTTCTGGCTTCAAGCAATCCTTCTGCCTCCGCCTCCCAAAGTGCTGGGGTTACAGGCATGCGTCATTGCACCTGGCCACATGTGGCCCTGATGGAAGGTGGTGCGGAGTGGGGTTTATATTATGGTGCCCACCATGTTGGTGTGACAGGGGCCACCACAGATGGTAGAGGCTCCATTGTGGCCAGTGAGATGGAAGATGATGGACCCTACCGGGGTTGGCGTGATGTTAGCCCACTTAAGATTGCCAGTGTTGACACAGGCACCTCTTCTGTTTTCTGTAGCCCTGAGGGCAGCAGTGTGGACAAGCCCACAGAGGAAGTGGCTTTCCAGCTCCGAAGCTATGCGCAGCGTCTCCAGGAGCGTTGTGCTCTAGTGAAGATTCTCTCGGAGCCTGGCCCCACCTTGGCACCCATCCCCACTCTGCCCCGTGCAGAAGTCATGGTGCAGGCCATTCTGGGGACCCAGCATGGCCCAGCTCTGCCCCGGCTGGAGAAGACACAAATTCAGCAGGACCTGATAGCCACAAGGGTACAAAGGGGCTGTGGTCACTGTGTCAGTCTTTCCTGGTGGGATAAAATCCTTCACTGAGGTCCTGCGGTTGGGGGGCCAAGGAGCAAAGGAGAATTCTGCTGGGCTGGGTGCAGGCATTGTGAGGGAGAATTGGAGGTGGGGTTTTGAAGGATGAATAGGAGTTTGTCTTCTGGGGTTCAGTTTCTCATTAGACTCCAAATCTGCTTCTCCAAAATGGCCTTCCAATGGAAAGAGATGGGAGTCAAAGAACAGAATCTTGGGTTTGGAGCTTGGCATGAAAAACTCGAGGTTCTGGAGTTGGAGAGACCTAGAAACTTTGACAGAACTGCTATTTGACCTATATAAGCTACTTGCCTCTAGAAAATGCCATTTCTCCAGCTGTAGTTTTTATAGGAGGAAGCTATTTCTTTCTCACTAGTTTGTTTTGTTTTTTTTTTTTGATTAGCCGGAGTCTTGCTCTCACCTCGGCTGGAGTGCAGTGCTGCTATGTCGGCTCACTGCAGCCTCCGACGTGCCCCCACCCCACCGGGTTCAAGTGATTCTCCTGCCTCAGCCTCCTGGGTAGCTGGGAGTACAGGCTCACACCACCTCACCCGGCTAATTTTTGTATATTCAGTGGAGATGGGGGTTTCACCATGTTGGCCAGGCTGGTCTCGAACTCCTGACCTCAGGTGATCTGCCCCCCTCGGCCTCCCAAAGTGCTGGGATTACAGGTGTGAGCCACCGTGCCCGGCCAAAGGCCACAGTTTTTGCCTGACTAGTCCTCAGTGGGTGCCTCTTGGGGCCTCAGCTTCCTTGCAGTTGACCCCAGAAGCATAAATTCTCTGTCCTCCCCTTGGTCCTGCAGGAGACCCTGGCGGACCTGATGCTTCGGCTGCAGCTGGTGCGGCGTGAGAAGCGGGGCCTAGAGCTTCGGGAGGCCGCCCTCCGAGCCCTGGGCCCGGCTCACGTGCTGCTGCTGGAGCAGCTGCGGTGGGAATGGGCAGAGCTCCGGGCTGGTGGGGCAAACAGTAGTGGCGGAGACAGCAGCAGAGGTGACAGCAGCGGGGGCGAGGAGGAGTGGCACCAGGTGAGCTGCCCCGCCTGGACCTGGTAGTAGCTTCTAATGGGAACATAGCCCTGGTCAATTGCAGTTGTTTTTTTGTGTGTTTGTTTGTTTTTTTGAGGCAGAGTCTCACTCTGTCGCCCAGGCTGGAATGCAGTGGCACGTTCTTGGCTCACCGCAACCTCTGCCTCCCAGGTTCAAGTGATTCTCCTGCCTCAGCCTGCTGAGTAGCTGTGACTACAGACACACACCACGATGTCCAGCTAATGTTTGTGTTTTGTTTTGTTTTTTTTGAGACGGAGTTTCACTCTTGTTGCCCAGGCTGGAGTGCAGTGGCGCGATCTCGGCTCACCGCAACCTCCGCCTCCCGGGTTCAGGCAATTCTCCTGCCTCAACCTACTGAGTAGCTGGGATTACAGGCACGCGCCACCATGCCCAGCTAATGTTTTGTATTTTTAGTAGAGACGGGGTTTCACCATGTTGACCAGGATGGTCTCGATCTCTTGACCTCGTGATCCGCCCGCCTCGGCCTCCCACAGTGCTGGGATTACAGGCGTGAGCCACCGCGCCCGGCAGAATGTTTGTGTTTTTAGTGGAGACGGGGTTTTGCCATGATGGTCAGGCTGGTCCCAAACTCTTCACCTCCTCGGCCTCACAAAGTGCTGGCATTACAGACGTGAGCCACTGCACCTGGCCTTATCACGGCCCTTTCTGAGCCTCAGTTTCCACTTCTGCACCAAGAAGCAAGTCGCATCATTAAGCTTCATGTCAAACTCACACCTGTGCTATGAGGTTTTCCTCCCTCCCTGCCTTCCTTCCTTCTTCTGAGTCTCTCTGTGTCGCCCAGGCAGGTCTCAAACTCCTGGGCCCAGGTGATCCTCCCACCTCTGCCTCTCTAAGCGCTCAAATTACAGGAATAAGCCACCACACCCAGCCTCTTTCCTTTTTTTTTTGAAACGAAGTTTCACTCTGTCGCCCATGCCGAAGTGCAATGGCATGATCTCTCCTCACCGCAACCTCCGCCTCCCGGGTTCAAGCGATTCTCCAGCCTCAGCCTCCCGAGTAGCGGCGATTACAGGCATGCGCCACCACGCCCAGCTAATTTTTTATTTTTAGTAAAGACGGTTTTCTCCGTGCTGGTGAGGCTGGTCTCAAACTCCTGACCTCAGATGATCCGCCCGCCTTGGCCTCCCAAAGTGCTGGGATTACAGGCGTAAGCCACCACGCCT